CCCCCCCCCCCCCCCCCTCTCTCCCCCAGCAATACAGGCGCCTGCATGTCCCTCTGTGTGGATCGTGCTGCTGTGTTGCAGGTCGAGATACTGCGAGCGTTGAAGCCCAAGTACGAGAAGTTCCACCACGTGCAGTACAGCGACGAGGCCCTGCAGAACGCCGCCACGCTCGCACACCAACACATACAGGACAGGTAGGTACACACCACAGACGCCAGGACATCCACCCCACCCCACCCATGTTGGTTGGCATGATGGGATGGGTGTCAGGTTTCTGCCCGACAAGGCCATCGATCTGCTGGACGAGGCGGGTGCCGCCGTCAAGCTGCAAGCAGAGAAACTGCCACCGGTTGCAAGAGGGCTCCAACGTGAGCATACAAAACCACCACTTGCCCATTCACCCAATCCACACACATCCATCCATCCATCCGTATGTGCAGGCGAGCTGCGCGAGAACCAGCGCCAGCAGGCGGCTGCCGTGAGCAGCAAGGAGTTCGAGAAGGCCTCTCAGCTGCAGCAGCGGGAACAACAGCTCAAGTACGCACCAACCCCTCCCCCCCTCCCCACTCTCTCTCTCTCTCTCTGTGTGTGTGTGTGTGTGGTGTGGTGCAGGAGGAAGCTCGAGGACGTCTGTCCATCCGCCCTGGTCATGCCCAAGGTCGACAGCGAGGCCATCGCCCGTGTCCTGGCGGGGTGGACGGGCATCACCGTGCAGCAGCTGACGCAGACCGAGGCCACTAAGTACATCAACATGGAGCAGGTGCTCCAGGAGCGGGTCATCGGCCAGGGGGAGGCGATCAAGGCCGTGAGCAAGGCCGTCAGGCGCGCCAAGAGCGGGGTCAAGAACCCTGACCGGCCGATCGCATCGCTGCTTTTCTGCGGGCCGACCGGTGAGAGACCACATCTGCTCACGCAGAGAGAGAGAGAGAGAGGGAGATGCGTAATTCGTGAGTGCATTTCTCTGGTCTGTGTGGATGTGCGTGTAGGTGTGGGCAAGACGGAGCTCACCAAAGCGTTGGCAGAGTTCCTGTTTGACAGCGACGACGCCATGGTACGGTACACACACCCATCCCATCCACAAGACCGTCCACACACATCACGTCAGCTGTGTCCACTGTGGGTGGCCACATATGTGTGTGTGTGTGTGTCGTATAGATCCGTTTGGACATGAGCGAGTACATGGAGCGCCACGAGGTGTCGAAGCTCATCGGTGCCCCACCAGGATACGTCGGATACCAAGAGGGCGGCACTCTCACCGTACGCAAACCCTCCCTCTCTCCCTCCCCCTCTTTCCCCCCCTCCTTAACTCACACACAGACCTGTTGTTGTGTGTATATGTGTGTGTGTGTGTGTGTGTTTGGGTGCAGGAGCAAGTGCGCCGGAAGCCGTTCAGCGTGATCCTGTTCGACGAGGTCGAGAAGGCCCACCCCGACGTGTTCAACCTGCTCCTGCAGATACTCGAGGACGGCCGACTCACCGACAGGCACGCGCTGCACCGCACCCCACACACCGCACCAGCACAAGACAACACACGTGAGCATGATGGATGAGTGTGGTGGTTGTGTGTGGGTGAGTGCAGCAAGGGCCGGACGGTCGATTTCCGCAACTCGTTGGTCATCATGACCTCCAACCTGGGAGCCAAACTCATCGAGAGGGCCGCCAGGGTCCCCGGTGAGTCACCGACCTCTACCCACCCTTACACACACACACAGATGGATGTGTGTGTGTGTGTGTGTGTGCAGGTGGTGGTGGGACGTCACTGGGCTTCTCACTGCCGATGGGCCAGTCTGCGAGTGAAGCTCAGTACGAGGGCATCCGCAACCTGGTCAACGAGGAGCTCAAAAACTACTTCAGGCCCGAATTCCTCAACAGGCTCGATGAGACCATCGTGTTCAGGTGCGCAGAAACCTCCACAC